AGAGATCTTGACTCAGATCTCGACCTGAAAGTGCTAAACTAATACTAAGATAAGTACTAGTTTTTTTTTTTTTTGCATATTTTCTTTTTATTTTTTATTCTTTTTTGCTAACTACTTCTATAGATTTTGTATACTACTGGAAATATAAAATAGCGTAAAGATTTAGAGATCTTGACTCAGGTCTCAACCCAGAAGTACTAAAACCAACACTAAGATAAGTACTAGTTCTTTTTTTTGCATATTTTTTTTTATTTTTTTTTGCTAACTATTTCTTTCTTTTATAAGTTTTGTATACTACCAGGAAAGATAAAATAGCATGAAGATTCAGAAATTTTGACCCGAAAGTGTTAAAACCAATACTAAGATCAGTACCAAATCTTTTTTTTATATATTTTCTTTTTTATTTTTTATTTTTTTTGCTAACTACTTCTTTCTTCAATAGGTTTTGTATATTACCAGGAATATGAAATAGTGTGAAGATTCAGAAATCTCAATAGATCTCAACCCAAAAGTACTAAAATCAATACTAAAATAAGTACCAGTTCTTTTTTTTGCATGTTTTCTTTTTTATTTTTTATTCTTTTTGCTAACTACTTCTTTTTTCTATAGGTTTTGTATACTACTAGAAAAAGTGAAATAGTGTGAAGTTTCAGTGATCTTGACTCAGATCTCAACTCAAAAGTGCTAAAACCAACACTAAGATAAGTACTAGTTCTTTTTTTTTTGTATATTTTTTTTTTATTTTTTATTCTTTTTTGCTAACTACTTTTTTTTTCTATAGGTTTTGTATACTACTGAGAAGAGTAAAATAGTATGAAGATTCAGAGATCTCAACTTAAATTTTGACCCAGAAGTGCTAAAACTAACACTAAGATAAGTATTAGATCTTTTTTTTGCATGTTTTCTTTTTTATTTTTCATTTTTTTTTGCTAATTATTTCTTTTTTTTATAAGTTTTGTATACTATCAATAAGAGTGAAATGGTATAAAGATTTAGAGATCTTGACTCAGATTTTGATCTGAAAGTGCTAAAACCAACACTAAAATAAAAACCAGTTCTTTTTTTTTGCATATTTTCTTTTTTATTTTTTGTTTTTTTTGCTAACTACTTCTTTCTTCAATAGGTTTTGTATACTACTAGAAATATAAAATAGTGTGAAGATTTAGAGATTTTAACAGATTTTGACCCAAAAGTGCTAAAACCAACACTAGGATAAGTACTAATTCTTTTTTTTGTATGTTTTTTTTTATTTTTTGTTCTTTTTTGCTAACTACTTCTTACTTCTATAGGTTTTGTATTTTGCTAGAAAAAGTGAAATAGCATGAAGATTCAAAGATCTTGATCTAAAAGTGCTAGAACTAGCACTAAGATAAATACTTTTTTTTTATTTTTGTTCTTTTTTACTAATTACTTTTTTTCTATAAGTTTTGTATTCTGCTGAGAAGAGTGAAATAGTGTGAAGATTCAGAAATTTTAACTCAAAAGTGCTAGAACTAGTATTAAGATAAGTACTAGTCTTTTTTTTATATTTTTTTTATTTTTGTTCTTTTTTACTAATTATTTTTTTTTATAAATTTTGTATACTGCTAGAAAGTTTAAATAGAATAGAGGTTTGGGAACTAGTTAGTTATATTAAGTATCAAGAATAGAATGATTAGTAGTTGATAGTTAGAGTAGAGCAAATATATAAAAAATTTTTTTATATATAAATAAATTTAAATAAAAATTAAATATTGTATATATATAATAAATACTGTATATGTCTAAAAATAAGCTATTATTTTTGACTAAAAGTTATACAAAAATTTTGTAGATAATTTATTATTAGATAAAAGTATTTTTGCTAATTGTGAAAAATTTTATTAAATAAATCGATTATGCTTATTAATTAAAAGTTATTCAAGAGATCAAAATATATATTTTTTAAAAGTTTTATATAAATCAGATAACTTTTTATTAATTGACTTTTGATTTTTACATTCAATATATATAAATTTTAAAAAAACATTAAGGGACGTAACAAAAATCAGGTGATTTTTTAGAGAGAGAGAGGTAAAAAAAGTTAAAATTATATATAAAAACCTGATTTTTTTTTATATTAAGAGGGGGAAGAGAGGTAAGCCTCTAATAAAAAATAATCAGGTGATAAATAATACTACCCTAAAGAAATTTTAAAAAATTCATTGAATATAATATACAAAAATGTATTAATAAAAAGTTATTCAATTTGGATAAAAATTTTAAAATATATATATTTCAATCTCTTAAACAACTTTTATTTAATAAGCTATATTGATTTATTTAATAAAATTTCAACTTTACTATAGAGTAACTACTAATAATTATTAAGTAGCTTATTTTCGGGTATAAGATATTTTTATATTTTTCTTCCAAAAAAAGAAGGTAGCTTATTATCAGAGGTAGCTTATTTTTGGCAATATACGGTATATATTTTAGTATATATTATATATTAGAGCTTATTTAGATATCGTACCTTGTGAAATAAATATTTATCGCATCCAGAATGCAACGCACTTATATACCAACTTGAATTTTTTTATTTATTTATTTATTTTTTATATGTACAGTATTTATAAATTAAATAAAAATTATTTAATAAAAATAATCATAATAATTTATATACTTCGTTAAGCTTAACTACTAGACTTGATTGTTAGAAAAATAAAATATAACGAAATTAGTAGCATATATACTCAGACTGCTCAAGAATAGTGTGTTCTAATTTATACGATATCAAGAATAACAAATCTCTAAAATTGCACAAATCCAAACACTCCAGTTTTTAAAAACAGTGCAAATTAATATGAGTTATTAAAATCTATCTACCCTAACTGTTAACAAATAATTCACATGAATTGCACTGCTTCTAAGTATTACCATAAAAATTTCACCTACGTGATTATTGTCAATAAAAAATCATAATTTCGTGAATGTAAAATGATCAGGAAAATCAAAACTTGTCTTTGTCATAAATCGCTTATTTCTCAAGATTTACATCAGAGACTACCTTTTATGCGCTAGTAAAAAGTTTTTCTTGAGTGATTTTACTATAGGATTGCCTAAATCCGAACTCTAACTAGGCACTAATACAAATATAAGCGAATTTAAAAGAATTTTCTGTTGTTTACATGAGGCAAATTTTTTTATGACCATGCTGAGGAAGATTGCTTTTAAGCATTGTCCATCAGATAATATTGTGTTAAAGCAAGACTAAGATATACAATTGGCGCTCAAAATAAAATTTTGATAGATAGTGATATTGCATTACAAACAACAACAAATTAGGTAATTAATGTTATGATCTATACGCGTATATCTATACTCCTGATTATAACATTTCCTTTTACTAATTATCACTTCTTCCTTTTTGTTTGTGATAGGCAGTATTATGACCCACTTTACCACATTGTCTACACCTATATATACCTTTCAAAGTTCTTTGCCGGTTTTGTTGCTTTTCTATACTACTTTTATAATGACGTTTAGTAGGCCTTCTTTTTCCAATAACACGAGTTGGGTTTTGAACATTCTCAGGAAGTTGTGCATTGTTTTCTTTATCAGAATAACTATCATCTGGCTTTTTTGATATAGTTTGACTTGTATTCACAGTATTGATATTTATTTCTTTTGATTGTAAAGGCCTCTTTGTTGTACTCTTGACTTGTATACTATTACTGTGTATATTAATTTCATTTTTTTTTCTCTAAATATAACTTTGAAGAATATTAATAATTTTATTATCATCATTGTCTACTGCTATTAGTGTTGCCTTACAAGCTAATCTCTATATTTTACTATATATATTTCTTTTTTTAAAGCTTTTTTCATAGTTGAAATCGTAACTAGAGCTATAGGAGGCCTTTGAATTAAAAAAATCTCACTATTCTCACATCTTTCATCAGTAATTCCTTTTTCATGAACAAATATAACTTTCTCAATTTTGAATTTTTGATTTTCTTGATAGGAGTCCCTATAACATCGTGGGGGATCATTGATATATGAAAACCTGCAACTTTAGAGTGCATTATAATACGGAAGTAATGGCAGCAGATAAGTTTCTTTGAAATTGATTTAAGGTATGAATATAAAAAGGACACCGAGTTTACAATAACTATAAAGTGAATATGATGCCTTTTTTTACTGCGGATATTAGAAATTTTTCAGATTTCAGTTATACTTTTACTTCTGACTTTATCTATAATAGCTTGAAGTGTAATTTTGCGTGCATCATCACTATCTTCAATGAATCAATTCGATGCTTTTTCAATATTTTCTTGTTCAGTATTAAGTTCATTAGACATTGGTTTAATCCTATTTGCTGTAAGATATAAACACTGAGATATTTCAAACTTGATTATATTATTAATTGATTTCGTGAGAAATCTATCAATAACTTCAACTACGGCTAGAAAAAGATCATGTCCAGCAGTAGGCATAGTAGCAAATTTTGTTGAACTTTTATACTGATTAAATCTATTCCAATGTGTCTCTGTCTCTAGGCACTTTTCTAAACAATCTGCAAGTTTATACAATATGCTATTTGCTCTTAGTTCTTTTTAATGACCCAATTATAACATTCAACACAAGCTGTGCTTTCTATTCCAGC